ACACCTTCAGCCTTGGTTCCGGCTCTGTTTCGTGGTGGGCTACCCGCTCGTCTTCTGTTCTCGGCTCCAGTTGTGAGGCTGAGATCTACGCCGGGGCCATGGCTGCACAGGAGCTTCGCTGGCTCACCTACCTGCTGACTGACCTCGGAGAGCCGCCTCGTTCTCCTCCAGTGCTGTACGTAGACAACAAGGCCATGCTGGCCTTGTGTCGAGAGCAGAGACTGGAGCACAGAACGAAGCACATTGCTCTCCGCTACTTCCTTGCTCGTGAGCTACAGCAGCGTGGTCAGCTGCGGCTTGCGTACGTGGCCTCTCAGGCCAACACTGCTGATATCTTCACCAAGGCACTTGCGCCTTGTGATCATCAGCGCTTTTGTACTCAGCTGGGTCTTGTGCCCACCTTGCCTCACTTGCTCACCCCTTGACCTTGTTTGTACTGATGCATATATATATATTCCTCCTCTTGCTTGTCTAGCCTTATATATATATATGTAATCCTGCATGTGAACTGGCCTTGTGGCCTTGAACTTGTGCTCGGAATGTGTGGTGACTTTGTGATCCACCCTGAGCTTGCTTTGCTTTGCTTGACTGGTCTTGTGACCCCTTGTTCTCCCCCACTTTGCCTATGGGGGTGTGTCAGATTTATATGACATAGCTACTGTAGGCTATAGTGGGGTAGCACATATGGGGTACAGTTTTCTAGGGTTTGCATTTGTACCCAACTTTCCCTTAGTCAAATCATTCCTCGTTTCTTCTCAGCAGGGGCGGCTGGCGGGCCTAAAGCGAGCGGCGCGCAGGCGGCAGCAGCAGCTGGCGGGCCGATCGCGGGCCTCGCGAGGGTGGTAAGGGCGGCGGGCGAGCCGTTAGCAGGGGCCGACGGGCCTAGGGGATCCTGGCTAGGGGCGACAGGCCGGGGCGACAGGCCTAGGGCGACTGGCCGGGGGTCGACGGGCTAGGGGCGACGGGCCGGGGTGTCAGAATGTATTTGCTGTCTAGCTTGCAGTGGGGTACTCTGTAGTGAGTACAACCCAATTTAGGGTTTGCTATTTGTATCCCAACTTTCCATAGTGAATCATCTTCATTCTCCTTCTCGACTTTTCCTCACCCAAAACTCTCTCGACACTCATGCTAGCACCTAGAACCCAAGCCATGGCTCCTAAGTTCAACTAACTATTTCAACATGCTATCAGAGTAGGTCGTTCCTAGGACCTCACATTAATGGGCCCACCACCTAATGCCCTGCTAGCCTAGGCCCCGGCCCGTCGCCCCTTGGCGTCGCCCCTAGCCCCTAGGCTCGGCCCCTTGGCCCCGTCGCCCCTAGCTGTGCCCCTCGGCCCCGCTGGCCCCGTCAACTCCGTCGCCCCGCGCCCGGCCCGTACCTAGCCCCGCGACCGGCCCGTACCTAGCCCGCGCCCGGCCCCGTCTCGTGCCCGCGCCCAGCCTGTACCTAGCCCGCGATCGGCCCGTTCTTTGCCCCGCGCCCGGCCCATACCTAGCCCGCGCCCGGCCCCGTCTCACGCCCGCGCCCGGCCCTGTCTCTCGCCCGCGCTTGGCCCGTACCTAGCCCCGCGACCGGCCCGTACCTAGCCCGCGCCCGGCCCCGTTTCGCGCCCGCGCCCGGCCCGTACCTAGCCCGCGATCGGCCCGTTCCTAGCCCCACGCCCGGCCCGTTCCTAGCCCGCGCCCGGCCCGTACCTAGCCCATGCCCGGCCCCGTCTCACGCCTGCGCCCGGCCCCGTTTCTCGCCCGCGCCCGGCCTGTACCTAGCCCGCGCCCGTCCCGTCTCAAGCCCGCGCCTGGCCCGTACCTAGCCCGCGCCCGGCCTGGTCCCTAGCCCAGCTCGGCCCCGTACCTAGCCCAGCGCCCGGCCCCGACCTTAGCCTGTGCCCCACCTCGCCCCTCGCCCAGCGCCCGGCCTCACCTTGATTATACCCCACCTTGACTATGGGGGTGTGTCAGAATGTATTTGCTGTCTAGCCTGTAGTGGGGTACTCTGTAGTGAGTACAACCCAATTCAGGGTTTGCTATTTGTATCCCAACTTTATATAGTGAATCATCTTCATTCTCCTTCTCGACTTTTCCTCACCCAAAACTCTCTCGACACTCATGATAGCACCTAGAACCCAAGCCATGGTTCCTAAGTTCAACTAACTATTTCAACTCCGGGGTCGACGGGCCTAGGGGCGCCGGGCTAGGGACGACGGGCCGGGGCGACGGGCCTAGGGCGACAGGCTGGGGGTCGATGGGCTAGGGGCAACGGGCCGGGGGTCGACGGGCCTAAGGGGCGCCGGGCTAGGGGCGACAAGCCGGGGCGACGGGCCTAGGGCGACGGGCCTAGGCGACAGGCGAGGGGCGACTGGCCGGGGCGACAAACCTAGGGGCGACTGGCCTACGGGCGACGGGTTGCGACGGGCCTAGGGGCCTGGCGTAAGGGTCGACGGGCAGTAGGGGCAGCACGAGGGCTGCAGAGGGCAGCTAGCGGGGTATTGGTGTGGTGGGCCCAAGGAAAAAAAAAACGGTCCTAGCGAAGGACATGCTCTGAAACCATGTCAGAAGAATCAACGACAATGGATGAACTATGAAAGAGTTGGGTACAAGTACTAACCCTAATTGGGTTGTACCCTTTATGGGCTACCCCACTATAGCCTACACAAATGTAAGCACTTTAACATTCTGACAGTGCAGAGTCGGAGCGCCATGCTAGTATTCGACTCCTACCGTGGTCACCTTACCTAGGAAGTCAAGGCGAGATTCGTGGCGCTCAACATCGTGCCGGCGATCATCCCGGCGGGATGCACGGCAGACGTGCAGCCGCTCGATGTGTCGGTGAACAAGAGCTTCAAAGCGAGTGTTCGCCAGCAGTACCAGTCCTGGTTTAATGGCGGACGGCATGAACATTCTGACACCTGCAGGTGAGCGACGACATGTCCTCCCGTCTCCCCTTCGTGTGCTTGTTTGCCTGCTTGTGGACTAATGTGTTCCCCACTCCCTTTCATGTGGTGTAGGGAACATCAAGAAACCACCCCCGGCGGTGGTGCTCAAGTGGATTTCACGGGCGTGGAAGGACGTGCCCGCCGACCTGATTAAGAAAGCCTTCCTCACGTGCGGCATCAGAAATGCCCTTGACGGGAGCGAAGTCCATCTGGTGATGGCGCACTGGAGAAGCCAGTTGAGCGACGAGGTAGAGGTAGACGACGATATCCAAATAGACGGGTTCTGGGGCAACAACGCCACGGAGCCTGAATCGGACGTGGAGGAAGAGCAGGCCTAAGGCTAGACTAGGCAAGATGATGGTGTTTAGGCTAGGAAAATAGTCACCATATTGTATGTGAAACTTTTAGCTAGTGCAAAATTACAACTAATGAAGGCTAGCCTTCGTTTAGCTCTAACAATAATGACAAATATTCAACAAGTATTTTTTTTTTACTGCAAGGGTGCGCTTATAATAATTAACGATTTTATAAGGGGTGCGCTTCTAATTGAGGATCGGCCATAAGTACATTGCTCCATATATAAGCGCATGCGCTTTTAATAGGCATGCGATTATATCCGGGGCGATACAATATATAATTAAAAAACATAAAATTGTACATCACATCCCTGTGATTTCAATCGAATCGAAATTGTTAAGTGTCACGAATCATAATCACACGCGGGTGATTCACTGCCGGCGCACAGGGGCAAAGTACAGTGTAACACCTCACTTTGAGGGCGTGCCAGCTCGTGCTGACTGAACGCGCACCTCGAAAGTCAACCTAAGCGAAAATGGATGTGGCCTCGCTGCAAAATTGAAATTCGTTACGATTTTATCAAGGATAAAAAAATCAAATTACACATGCGCTTATAATATATCAGGGTTTTATAAGGGGTGCGCTTATAAATGAGGATCGGCCATAAGCGCATTGCTCCAGATATAAGCGCATGCGCTTTTAATAGGCAAGCGCTTATACCGTATCACCCCGGATAGAAGCGCAGGCCTATTATAAGCGCATGCGCTTCTATCTGGAGCAATGCGCTTATGGCCGATCCTCAATTATAAGCGCACCCCCTGTGAAAACGTTACTTATTATAAGCGCATGTACAATTTTAAATTAAAATTTCTGTTCAAAACGGTAGCGAGTTTCAATTTTGAAGCGAGTACAATCTCATTTTCGCTGAGTTTGACTCTCGAAGACCTGACTGGCTGCGCGTCCAGTCAGGATGTGCTGGCATGACTGCAAAGTGTTGCATCTTGGCCCCTGTGTGCTGGAAGAAAATCGCTTGCAGGAGATTCTGCATTGTGAGGCGAAAATTTTCGACTCGGTTGAAATGGCAAGAGTGAAACATACAATTTGGTGTCTTAAATTTATAAATTCGTATATGTCATTATATAAGCGCATGCGCTTATAAAAATGACTCAATTAGAAGCGCACCCCCCTAAAAAACTCTGCTTTATTATAAGCGCAGGTGCGCTTCTATCCGGGGTAATACGGTATCCGGGGTCATACGGTACTACACTATCTGCATGCAGTTATAAGAATATAATTCTAACATCCCCCCTTTACTGCATGCAAGACTAGCTAGTGAGTGGCAGTCATCCATAGAGGTGCATTCACCAAGCAGCAGTTTGAACCACCGTGGTTGAATCCCCACGCCAGGTGCCCAACTGAACCCTCGTAGCAGGTGCCCGGTGTGCGCGTAGGGGGGCGAACATGCCCAGATACGACGGAACCTAAGGCGGCGACTTGTTGTACGATGGTCAAGAGAAAACAGAGGAGAAGAGAGAACAGGTGCAGCGAAAGGGAGAGGAGGAGAAGGAGAGACAGTTGCTGTTGGCTATCTGGACACCCCCTCCACCCCCTCACCCTCCCTCCCACGGCAGCAGGCGCGGCCGGGAGAGAGAGGAGAAAGGATTGACGTGAGTGCTGGTGATGCCGGCCGACTCACGCCACCCTTTCACCTTCTTCCCCCCGTCCCCGCCACCCCCCCCCCACAGCAGCAGCCGCGGGTGAGCTAAACCATCAAGTGGCAAAGGAAGCCGAGACCGGCAGGTTGTGCACGGCCCGCATGGTGCTGCTGGCAACATCCAGCAGCTGAAGCCACTCGTCCGCCCCATCCACCAGATTCTGAAGCAAGTATCGGCACAACAGACAGTGGAACAAGGAAGGAGGGCATGTGGAGAAGAAGGCGTTAAGCTAGGCATTTGTCGCCCAGGCAGCAGGGGGGAGATCTTGCAAAACACATCGTGTGCCATTGTAACGAGGTGACTTTTGAGTCGACTCAAAAGTCACCTGATTTCGCCCAGGCAGCAGGGGGGGATCTTGCAAAACACATCCAGCAGCTGAAGCCATTCGTTTGCACCACCCACCAAATTCTGAAATAAGGACCGGCATGACAGTGGCACAAGGAACATGGGAGTGGGGAGGAGAAGAGGGCAAGCTACGGTTTGTAAGTCCCTGACGCTGTTCCAGCAGCAAGGCGGAAAATGCTACTTACCTTGTCAGCAGCAGCAATGGTGGCACAGATGCGCGCCTTCTGCTCGTCTTTGAGGTCGTCTGCTGCCGTGGCTGCATCAAACAACTGAGAGGGGAATGAAATCCGGGAGAAGGCAATCGGTGCACGCAAGGACAAGGGAAAGGTGGGGGGTTGCGGTAGTGGGAAAATCAGTGAGGCCTTCTGGTCGTCTGTGAGGTCCTCAGCGGCGAAAATGATGGTGGTAACCCTATTTTGTGTTACATGAAAAAGTATATGTGCAGTGGGGAAACCATTAGCAGCAAATAAAGGGGTGATAACTTAGAAAAATAGAAAGCTGCAATTATTGGTAAGTTGATTATTTTTTGAAATGCAATTACCTGAGACAGTATCTGCGCAGCAGGGTAACCGTCAGCAACAGCGGCAGTGACAGCAGATTGAACTGCCTCAAATGCACCTCCCCTGCAGGCCTCAAGGAGGGAGGTGACAACTGAGGCAGGTACCACCTGCATGGGGTGGAAGAGGGATGGATGGTGGATGGGATGAAGAAAGGGACGGAGGGAGGTGACAAATGAGGCAGGTAGCGCCTGCACAAAAAGGGAGAGGGAGACATGGTGGGTGAATGGGAAAAAAACAGGGACAAGGGAAATGACATGCAATGGGTGATAGCTGATGCAGGCATGATTTGCATTGGGAGAGAGAGGAGACCACGTGGGGAGGAGACCAATATTATTATATTCAATGAGGACTGTTCGAGGAGACCAGCAGGAAGAACGCCGTTTGAGAAGGAAGGTGAGATGTGGGGAGGAAGGGAGGAAAGAAGGGAGGAAGGGAGGAAGGAAGGAAGTGTGGAGAGTAAACACCAAACAAGGCAGATTCATCAAGGAGAGGTGACATCTGAGGCAGGTATTAATTGGTGGAATGAGGCTGTTAAAACCAGAGTACAAATTCAACGCGGCTCGGGAAGAGATTTGAGGAGGGCGATTCGGAGAAGAAACACTAGGGGTCGATAGAACAAAGATTCTAGTTTTGAGGCACCTAAAAAATGTCGCTGCTGCTCGCTGGAATGTCTAACAATTCGGAGAAGAAACGCTAGTGGTCAACGAGCGGCGATAGAACAAAGATTTAGCTGGTGCTTCGCGCGTTTCATTGGTGGGGAGAGGGGGGGTGGGGTTGAGGGGAGGGCAACTAGGGTGGCGCAAATATTCAAAATGGCGGGAGGGGGAGAAACGAAATGGCGGGGGGGGGGTCTGGCTTCCCAGGTTGAAAGCACACCATGTAACCGGGCCATCAAAGGTTGACCTTTGATGCCCATTCAGTTGAATGTGCAACCTGCTCTTAACAAACATGTACTATATTCTTGATAAAGTTGCCAATCTGCTGTGTGGGTGTAAATGTTTTCAATTCTGGTTGGATCCTGATTTTATCGTTTCCTTTTCTCTTCTTCAAAGTACTTCCCGTTTACTTGGCATATCCAGCAACAACAATGCTCCCACACTATATTACACCCTCTATTACACCCTGGTAGGGAAGAATTCCGGCGCGTATGCATAGCAACAGCGAAAAAATAATAATTTAATTACATACCCCTGACACTTCGATGATGTGTTGCGCTGAGATGGAAGAGCCGTACAGCCTGGCAGCACTCTGCCAGCAGGGCACGATAGGGACAGAGAAGAGGGTGCAGACACGGAACAGGGGACAGGGGACAGGGGTAGGTAGGTCACATTGACTTGAGCAATTGTGTGATGACGTGGATGGTCGAGCGCTGAAACCAACGAGTCGTACAGCCTGGCTGCACTCTGCAAGCAGGGCAAGGTGGGAGGATGGGAGAGGTGGCAGGGCAGGCAGAGGAGACACGAGACAGGGAGTAGGGGAAGGTGAGAGTGATATTAGCGGTCATGTGTTGCGCTGAAATCGAGGAGCTGTACAGCCAGGCCGCACTCTGCAAGCAGCACACGATAGGGACAGGGAAGAGGGGCTACAGTGGCACGGAGGCACGGAGGCACGGAGGCACGGAGGCAGGGAGGCAGGGAGGCAAGGGATAAGGGTCAGGGGACAGGGAACAGGGTGAGGATGGGAGGAAGTAACGTAAGGCAAGAAGTGGAGGGGAGAGTTCTGGCGTTGATACCGGTGACTAGGTCATGGGATAAGGGATAAGAGACAGGGGACACGAGCAGGAAAGCAGCGGGAGGATGGGAGGAAGTAGCACAAGGCAAGAAGCAGAGGGGAGAGTTATGGCGTTCAAATTAGTGACCTGTGCAGCCTGGGAGCATTCTGGACGAAAGGAAGGAGGGGGAGGACATGTGCATATGAGATTAGAGACCTTTTCTTGCATCATTTTTTAGAATGGTCAAAGGCTATACAAGCACGCAGCTATTCCATTGATACCAGTTACCTGTGCATCCTACCAGCTCTCTGGAGGGCAGGGAGCACGAGAACGTTCGGAGAAATGGGAAGAATAGGGGGGGGGGGCTTCTGCTGAGATTAGAGAGAGCAACGAGTTATTTCATTTTTATTCTTCCTGTCCCTGCCTCAGATATTGCCTAATCAGATTCGAATTCGATGCTTGTGGGATTTCTGCTAGCAACGGCCCTCCTCCACTCCACCCACACATACCTGCAGCGGTGTGATGCCTCGCCTGAGAATCTGATCGCCCTCTGCCACTTGCCCAAGCGCTTTAGACGCCTAGAGCTGCGCCCCCTCCACACACCACACCATCCCCCCTCTACCCACGCACACACATACCTGCAGCGTTGTGATGGCTCGCCTCAGATCGCCCTCCGACACTTTGCTAAGCTCTTCAAAGGCCTGCAGCATACGAGACCAAGGGGCGGCACAGCAAGAACAAGTGTTGGCAATTTGCAGTTAGAAGATTAATACAGAGGAAAGGCGGACAGCCCCAGTAGCACAGTGGTAGTGCGTTCGCTTCGTAAGCGAAAGGTCCAGAGTTCAATCCTCTGCTGAGGCACCATTTGAACTTTCACATTTGTATCGCTCATCCCTTCCACCCTACCCTGGTATTGACTTCCCGACCCTCTACACATGTTTTATTATTTTTTCCTCCCTACTCTGAGCCTGTCAGTAACCTCTTATCCCACCAACGCTCACCTGGCAGGCAGGCAGTCAGCTGTATTGAGTGTCCAGCTTGAATGGGACTGTGATGATTCCATCTCACCTTTTGTCTGGTTTATCAGTTACCTCTTGTGCCAGCCCAGCAGCCCAGCAGCCCACCTAGGAGGCACACAACTCATCTGAGAGTGCACATGGGATGGGAGCACAATGTTCGCACTCCACTGTGTGTCTGAGCCTGTCAGTCACCCTCTTGCCCCACTAGCAACCCGCCCTCTCGTCCGAAAGCGTTACGTGTTCACAGTCGGCGATGTGGCGAAGCCTGCCAATCATCAACTGCTCCACCAGCACCGCACTCCACCTCACTCCACCTCACTCCACCTCACTCCACCTCAACCCACCGCAGCCCACCTCGCCTCACCTCCTCTAACAGCGTTAGGTGTTCGCAGTTGGCTGTCCCAGCTGGTCAGACATCACCTGCCCCAGCAGCAGCCCACCTCAACTGCAAGGTACCAGCAATGCATGAACACAGAGCGCAGCTTACCTCCTCAGAGTGCGTGAGGTGTTCAAAGTCCGCAATGTGTCTCAGCCGATCAGTCATCACCTGCCCCACCAGCAACTATGCGAAAGGAACGCAGCATTGCACACTGAATGCGAAGCATTAGGTGCTCGCAGTCTGCAATGTGTCTCATCACCGGCCCCACCAGCACCAGGTCACCACAGTGAACAGCAATTGCAACGCACCTCATCACTCAGCGACAGGTGCTCGCAGTCTGCAATGTGCCGGAGCCGGTCAGTCATCACTTGTCCCACCAGCGGCCGGAATCGGAACTTGGCACATCGGGAGGCCAGCGGCTCGATGATTCTGATGCTCGTCGGTGGGGGGCGGGAGTGGGAGGAGGAGATGAGGGGATAACAGGGGTTCAAGGGAGTGAAAAGGCAACACAGCACAAAGCAAAGCACAAAGGAATCGAGACTTGGCGCAAAGAAATTGGAACTTGGCACAGCGCTGCGAGAGGCCAGCAGCTCGACGATTCTGATTTTGCCCGTTCAGGACGAGAGAAGTTACCTGCTGATGTAGTTGCAGATGAAGACAAATCTTGTGACGCGTGAGTGCAGCTCCATCGTCCGGCGAAGTGCGTTCTGATTGGAGGAGAGGAGGAGAGGAGAGGAGAGGAGAGGAGAGGAGAGGAGAGAGGAGAGGAGAGGAGGGGAGAGTTTGAGAAGAAGATTTAAAAGTAAACCATTACTTTCGTTAAGGGAGAAAGGTAGCATACATAGGTTGCAAAGAGAAGGTTGGAAGGTGGAACTTGGGAAGTTGGCTAACCTATGGCCCATTGGTTGGGTTGACCTCACTTGGAGAAGTGGGGCAACATGTAGCCCAATGGGTTGGGTTAACCTCACTTGGGGAAGTGAGGGAACCTATGGCCCATTGGGTTGCATTTGGGGGCTCCACCACAATTGGGTTGGATTGGCACCCCAACATGCAAGGCTACACCCAATGTTGGGTGTAGTCCCAACCCAGATCTACACCACACTTGGTGTACAGTCACAAAAGTGTTAGCATGCTACAATATAATTCCAACAGAGAGGAGAGGAGAGGAGAGGAGAGGAGAGGAGAGGAGAGGAGAGGAGAGGAGAGGAGAGGAGAGATGAGGAGAGGAGAGGAGAGGAGAGGAGAGGAGAGGAGGGGAGAGGAGAGGAGAGGGGGGGAGAGGAGAAAAGAATGGGGGAGAAAAAAGGGAGGTGAGGAGGGGGGCGGAGAAGTGAGGAGGGGAGATGAGACGAGGGGAGGGTAAGGGAGAGAGAGGGGAGGAGGGGACGGGAGAAAATACTGACTTTGCAATTGCTGCTTTGTCTAAAGATGACATGCAGGCAAGCACTTGTGCACCATCCCTTGTTCCCCCTCCTTCCCCTCCTTCCCTCCCCCCCCCCCTTCCCCCTCTCCTCCCCCGCTCCCTTCCACCCCTCCATTCCCCCGTCCCTTCCCCCCATTCCCTCCGCTTGCTCCCTGCCTCACCTGCGCATCCTCTGTCATGGAATCGGCCTCGTCCAGAATGATCACCTTGAACGGTGGGCACGGGTAGCCGCTGGAAGCAAGGGGTGAAGGGATCAAGGTGGGTAGCTGGAGTGATGTCAGCCACTAGCAACAAGCATCCTCAGTCATGGAGTCTGCCTCGTCCAGAATGATCACCTTGAACGGTGGGCAGGGGTAGCCACTGAGAGTAAAGGGTGAAGTGAGGGGAGTACGGTGGGCAAGGAAGGGGTTGAGGGGAGTGCAGTCAGCCACAAGCAAAACAACAAGCATCCTCAGTCATGGAGTCAGATTCGTCCAGAATGATCACCTTGAATGGTGGACAGGGGTAGCCACTGGGAAGAAAGAAAAGAGGGAGGCAAGGTTGTGGTACGCATGAGAAGAACTAGGTGGAGTGTCGTCAGCAGCAAGCATGCTCGGTGATGGATTCGTCAGCCGGCCTCGTCCAGCGTCTTGTACGGTGAACAGGGGTAGCCGCTGAGGAGGGCGGAGGGGAGGGGCGTGAGGGAGGGGGGGCGGTTTGGTAAGCAGGGGAAAAGGCAGTTGCGAGAGAAAGCAGGAGCACATTGGGGCACCATGCCTCTATTGTCTTGAGTCGGCCTCATTGAGAATGATCACTTCGAATGGTGGACAGGGATGGTAACGAGGTGACTTTTGAGTCGACTCAAAAGTCGGCCTCATTGAGAATGATCAATTCGAATGGTGGACAGGGATAGCCGCTGTGGAGGAAATGGGGAATAGGTGGGAAGGGGGGAGGTGACAGAAGGGGTGGGAGGGGGGTGATAACCAGGGGAAATGGCAATGGCGATAGAATCAAGGAGCATCTTGAGTCTTTAAAACACCTCTCTCGCCTGCCCGCTCACCTGCTCCCTCACCTGCCCATTAATCTGCCCCTTCACCTGCCCGCTCACCTGACCCCATGCCCCACGGCAACGCCAGCAAAGTCCTTGATCTTGGTGCGCACCACACTGATGCCCCTGTCGTCACTCGCGTTCAGCTCCAATACCCGCGAGGGGTAGAGCTCGGGTCTGCAGAGGGGTGAGGGTACAAGACACATAGACATGGAGAGTTCCTCTCTCGGTGCGCACCACACTGATGCTCCTGTCGTCACTCGCATTCAGCTCCAGTACCCGCAAAGAGTAGAGCTCGGGGCTGGGGAGGAGGTTGCACACAGACAGCATGGGCATGGGAATGGGTATGAAATGGATAGACAGATGGACATGGAAGGGGGGTGGTTTATCTTAGTCCGCCCCACACCACACTGATGCCCCTGTCGCCACTTGCGTTTAACTCCAACGCCTGCGAGAAGTAGAGCTTGGGACTGGGGAGTGGGTCACACAGAGAGTATGAGAGAGACGAAGAGTACACGGTTCATCTTAGTTTGTGTGCGCACCACACTGATGGCCCCCATGCCGTCGCTCGCGTTCAGCTCCAACACTCGCGGGGGGTAGAGATCGTGGCTGTGGAGGGATTGACACACATGGGGTGGGTTAATGGGTTAAAGGGATTAAGGGTATCTTGGATAAAACTGCATGCCTGTACCCCTGCTGAATCAATACAACGGACCGCTTGTGAGAGAGAAGAGGAGTACATTGTTCATCTGGGTGTGCACCACACTGATATCCCTGTCGTCACTTGCATTCAGCTCCAACACCCGCGAAGAGTAGAGCTCACGACTGGAGAGGAGGAGCACTAAGGGGAGACACACAGTATGGGTATGGGTATGGGTATGGGTATGGGTATGGGTATGGGTATGGGTATGGGTATGGGTATGCGTATGGGTATGGGTATGGGTATGGGATGGGCAGCCATGGAGTCTGGAGTTCATCTTGGTCGCACCACACTGATGCCCTTGTCGTCACCCACGTTCAGCTCCAACACTCCAAGCTCATAGTGGAATAGCAGCAAACCTGAAGAAAACGCTTCAGCAACAAGGAACAAGGAACGAGGCACAAAATTGCTTCCCAGAAGTTCAAGTAGGCCAAGAAACTCTCAACTCGTAGGAATCATTAATCGCAAACTAGTTTCGGCTCACGGGGACAGGACCCGCCAAGCCTTCATCAATGCTGCTTTCAGATCCTTAATCATCAGCTCCAACACCCAGGTCGAGTAGAGCCCGGAGTTACAGGGGAGATGGAGGAGACCTCCAAATGGAATGGGGGCGGCACGGTGTGGGCACACTGATTGGCATCTCTCTCATCCGAAGAGCCAACCATTCACACAGCGCCAAGCCAGCCATTCGTGCCGTGTCCCACCCAAACAGCTCCTTGGTAATTGATTGCCTGTCAGCGCTGTGGACGTCTTGCCTTTTTGACACACACAGCTGCAAGCCACATAGAGTAGAGAACTACGGCACTCAACTCGTGTCCACTCCATACAGAACCACTCACTCACTCGCTCGTGTCGCACCCGAAGAGCTCCTTGGCGATTGCGAGCACTGTGGACGTCTTACCAGATCAGCAAATAAAGCCGTGTCTAGAGTCTTACTGAATCACATGAAGTCAAGCCAAGAAGCACTCACTTGCTCATGGCTCATTCACACACCACCCCTCTCATGGCTCATTCACACACCACCCCTCTCATGGCTCATTCACACACCACCCCTCTCATGGCTCATTCACACACCACCCCTCTCATGGCTCATTCACACACCACCCCTCTCATGGCTCATTCACACACCACCCCTCTCATGGCTCATTCACACACCACCCCTCTCACGGCTCACCCAAAGAGTTCTTTGGTGATTGCCAACGCTGTGGACGTCTTGCCCGTGCCCGGCGGACCATAGAAGAGCAGATGGGGCAGCTGTGGGGGTTGGAGTGGGAGGGATGGTGTGGGGGAAGGGGGGGTGGGGGGCATGAGGAGGTGACATGATGGGGCACATGAGGGGGTGACATGAACTGGCAGACGTGGACGTCTTGTCCGTGCCGGGAGGGCCGTAGAAGAGTAGATGGGGCAGCTGGGGATGTGGGGAACATGAGGGGGAGAGGAGGAGCGGAAGGGAGGGAGGTCTGTTGACGCTTGCCTGCCAGTGCTGCCAGTGCTGCCATGGATGAAGTGGCAGGTGAACGCTTGCCTGCCAGTGCTGTTGACGTCTTATCTGTGCCCAGTGGGCCATAAATGAGCAGATGCGGCAGCTGGGGGGGACAAGAGGGGGGAGAAGTGAGGGAGGGATGAGGTGGGATGGATGGAGAGGCAGGTGCTTCATAACCAGTCCTGTGGGCGTCTTGCGTGTGCTGGGCGGGCCGTAGAAGAGCAGATGGGGTAGTTGGGAGAGAGGAGGGGGAAGTTGTGGGGCAACGCACAGGGAAGGAATGATGTGATAAGGTGAAAGAGTAGGAGAGTGGAATCAATAGACGGTTCACACGTATCTGCATCCCTCATATCATCTCTTCTCCTCTCTCCACATATCATCTCACTTTACCTCAACTCATCCCATCTCCCCCCATTCAAAATGCCAGTAGCCAGTGTGTTCTTCCCCTCCTCTCGCCCTCACTCACTCACTCACTCGCTCACTCACTCACTCACTCGCTCACTCACTCACTCACTGCCCTTCACTCAAGCATCGTCACCACCCCATCCAGCCATATAATGGCCATTCCTTGTTCCGTCCCACCCTACCCTTCCCCCACCCTCATTTCAAATCATTCCATCTCATTCACGCCTCACATTGCCGGTGGTCAGTGTGTTCTTGAGCGTCGCCACCACCTCCTGCCACGTTTTCCCTCCTCCGGCTCTCCTGCTCTCACTCACTCACTCACTCACTCACTCACTCACTCACGCATCAATTACCTTCCCCTCTCAATCACGCCTCTCATTGCCAGTGGTCAGTGTGTTCTTGAGCGTCGCCACCACCTCATCCAGCTCTCAACCACCCACTCATTCACACACACATGACTCCCCTTCCCTCGCCTTCCTCCCATCTCACATTGCCAGTAGCCAGTGTGTTTTTTAGCGTCGCCACCACCTCTTGCTGATGTGCCACGTCAGACACCTGCTTTGGGCGGCTGGAGCCCAGAAAGGAAGAAAGAAAAGTACCAGCAGCGATGAGTTGCATTTTGTCGAGACGCCACGTCAGCAGACTGATGTCGGTGCAAGAAGCGACATAACAGGTCTCAGGGTGTGAATGCAGGTTCATTCTACTCCAGCAGACCGATGTCCTTGCAAGGAGCAACACGACAGGCCATAGAATGATTTGCAACCCTTAAACCCCCAACCCTTAAACCCCCAACCCTTAAACCCCCAACCCTTAAACCCCCAACCCTTAAACCCCCAACCCATACACCAACAACCCCACACACCCCCAACCCCCAAACACCCCAGCAACCATACACCCACAATCCCCCCACCCGCGCTCACTACTTCTCCACCCAGGCCCGGTTGTTGCTGGCGGATGTGACTGGCAGCTCACGAAAACCTGAATGCTGCCTACAACCCCCACACGCCCGGAACCACACCACATCCCCAACCCCCCCACCCACGCTCACCCACCACTTCTCCATCTAGGGCTGCGTGCTGGCGCCATGGCTTAGACTGTAATACGAAAGCAAGAAGCCTTACAGCAGCTCACAGCAACCTAAATGCTGCCTGCAAACCCCACACGCCCGCAACCGCCCCCCACACCCAGCTCCCTGCTGGCACTCACTACTTCTCCACCCAGGGTGCGTGCTGGGAGGCGTCTAACCCAACCACCCCCAATCCCACCCGGATGTGACAGGCACCATGGGGCTGAACCACACACACCTGCTGCACCCAACCCAACCACCCCCAATCCCACAAACCCCACACACCCGCTGCACCCAACCCAACCCACCCCCAATCCCACAAACCCCACACACCCACTGCACCCAACCCAACCACCCCCAATCCCACATACCCCACACCCGCAACACCCTTAGCCCTTACAACCCAAACCCTACACTCCCATCCCGCGCTCACTACTTCTCCACCCCATGCCTGCAATCCCCACACCCCCAATCCCTCCCTCGACCCGCACTCACTACTTCTCCACCCAGGGCTGGGTACTGGCGGATGTGACTGGCGCCATGGGGCTGACTGATGGTGCAGGCAGCGGTGCAGAGCGGTGTAAGGTGGCTCGCAGGTTGCTGGTTGCGTGCTGATGAGATGGGAATGAGTGACGGGGATGGATGGATGGATGGAGGATGGATGGATGGATGGATGGATGGAGGATGGATGGATGGATGGATGGATGGATGGATGGATGGATGGATGGATGGATGGATGGATGGATGGATGGATGGATGGATGGATGGATGGATGGATGGATGGATGGATGGATGGATGGATGGATGGATGGATGGATGGGTGGATGGATGGATGGATGGATGGATGGATGGATGGATGGATGGGTGGGTGGGTGGGTGGCTGGCTGGCTGGCTGGGTAGGTGGGTGGGTGGGTGGGTGAGTGGATGGATGGATGGATGGATGGAAGGAAGAATGCTTTCAGAAGCATGAATAGAACGAACGAAGGCAGGCATGACAAAAAGGAAAGGCCACAGGGAAAGGATGACAGTTTGTATATATGTGTGAATCTGGATGTGAGCAAGGGGGTGGCGTGAAAAAACAGCAAGATGCTTAGCTCGAGTCGAGTCAACGCCAGGTTCGTAAAAGCACTAAACACATGGTAATGATACGCGCATTGCTCTTACTCTCTCTCCTTCCCTCCTACTCTTATTCCTCCTCTTTTCTCCAACCCCTCGCCTCCTACCCACCTAATTCTTTTCTTACCTCTTTCCCGCGGCAGCTCTGCTCCCCCGCTCCCTTGCCTCGCGCTGCGCGGATGGCGGTGCGCTGCGCGGGTGGCGGTATAACCGCTAGGGGCGAGGGTGCTTGTGGTAAGCGACGAGAGCAGGGAGAAGCGAGGCTCACGGAAAGAATTTGATACTAGAGTGCACAAGGCGGGAATCTTGTACGATGTAGTGCTACTAGCAGCGGAGCTACTCAAAACAACCTTCACCAAGTTTCCGAAGTTATGGGCCGGGAGTTCCGGCGGCCGTGAGAAATTTCAGCCTGATTGTTCCTTGGTTCTGACGAATTGCACGGTGGTGATCGGGAGTTCTTTTCGAGTTTCCTCCTAGAGGTTGAGGTTGTGTTCGCTAGTTATCTGGCTTCGGGAATACATAACGGTTACCGGAGTGGTGGACGATCTTCGTTAACCGAAAGATTTTACACTGACTTCTGGTTCCGAACAAACTCGTCGTCAACTCGTCGGTGTGGTTACAAAGCCGAGATGGGTGCTAGTCGTTCAGCATCCACAAATTCCTTCAGCTTTCCGCTGCATGGCAGCTGAGAGATTTTGAAAAATCACCGCGCTGCAACGTTCTGAGGGATAGAGTAACCGCAATGAAACTGAAACAGCGAATTGAATGGAAGGTGTCACCCTTACTGAAACTAATCACCTAAAATAGATCCTCGTGATCGACTCGTGAGCAGGACGGATTATTTCGCGCAGAGATGCCTTTAGAGTACCCTTGATTTCAGCGTGAATTCGTTGTTGTCTTTTGTGAATTACCGGGCAGATCGGTTCCGCTCCTCCTCCCGGCCGTTTTCTCGCTACGCTGACTGTCAGATCAGCATAGATCGGGGCTTCTCTTATCTTCAATTCTCTCCCGGAATGGCCCTCCTCTGCCTCTCCTGCCGGCGTTCCTCGATGTCAGCTGCGGCGGCGTCGCTGCTGGTCGCGTGTCTGATCGCGGCGGCAGCGGGATCTGTGCGAGCAGCGAGCTCCGTGGCCGTGAATGGCGGTGCCGTGGTGGACGGCTATGTGCGACTGGACGGTAGGTCCAGTTTTCCCTTTCTTTCCTCGTATCCCCTGTATTAGCACGATGAGGAACAATATTAGGGAAGCCACCGTTCTATTAGAGCTCCACTGTGGTGGACGGCTACGTGCGACTGGACGGTAGGACCAGTTTTCCTCTTTTTTTTTCTTATGTGCCCTTATTAGCATGATGCGGAAATTAGGTGAGCCACACTTCAATTAGAGCTTCACTGTGGTGGACGGCTACGTGCGACTGGTCGATAGGAATTTATTTCACCTCACTTTCCTCGTGCCCTCTTTATTAGCATGATGCGGAACAGTATCAGGGCAGCCACCGACTAGTAGCCGTTTTTTTTTTGTAAATTCTTATTCTTCTTTTCGCGTGCAAACCGTGTTTATCTCATCTTTCCCGTCAGCTCTGAAGATCAAATCGACAGCTGTGAAGATCCTGATCAACGGCGGAGACTCCGTGGCGTTTGTGTGATCCAACGGCTACTTCTCCATGTAAGGGTTTCATCATTCGCGTCACTCCCTCCTCCGTTCTCCATACTCGTGCCTCCAAGCTTCAATCCAAAGGGAAATCGCACATCGCATCATGCCTGCGTGAGATTTCCACTGGCCCTCCTTTGGAGTTCACTGAGCAAGTACCACCGCCATACGCCCCCGTTTCATAATGCCGCTCTCCTTGCATCCCACCAGGCGTAATGCCCCCCAAGCCACTCCCACATCCCATAGCGCCTTCTGAGGCGCCTCAAAAGTCTATGATGCCGCCCTCTTCAGATTTCACCAAGCATCGTTCCTCCAAGCCACTCCCACATGGCTGCGTGAGATTTCTCCTGGAGCTCGTTTGGAGTTCACTGAAAAATTACCGCTGCCTTTTGAGGTGCCTTGAAGGTCCAAGCCACACTCCCAACACATCCAACAGTGTCTGCGTGAGATTTCCCCTGGCGCTCCTATGGAGTTCCCTGAGGAAGTGCCGCCCCCATATGCCCCTCTCCCAACACACCATTCCCCACCGCCACCCTGCCTCCGTGCACTCACACGCTGCAAGTGGCTGTTCCGCTTGAGTCGACTTCCCTTCTGGCTCAATCCCTTTTGAGTCATCTCACTTGCTTCCTCCCCTACCCTGTAGTCCCCGTATCCTCCCCCCACCCCCTTCCAGCCCTCCGTTACCCACCGCAGTGTCTATAAACTTACTCAGACGCCAGTTACCCTCCATCTCTGTCCTCTCGCCTTCCCTCCCTTCCTCCTCACACGCCTTTCCTCACCTCCTTGCCTCCTTCCATGCACACACTGCAAGTGGCCTGTCAAAATTATTTGAGTTTTTTCACAACCGAGTTTCTCTATGTATGCTTCTCTCCTCTCCCTCCCCCCCTCCCCTCCCTCCCCCATTCTTTTCCCACACGCCCCTCCCCAGCGCTCTGCCTTTCGGGCACGCACACAGCGCAGGTGCCGTATCATAATGTCCTTGAGTTTTCCCACGCACGTCTTTCCCTCACTGCATTACCCTTAACCGTCCCCTCCCTCCCTCCCTCCCTCCCTCCCTCCCTCCCTCCCTCCCTCCCTCCTTCCTTCCCTCTCTCCCTCCCTCCCTCCTTCCCTCTCTCCCTCCCTCCCTCCCTCCCTCCTCAGCGCTCTCTCTCCCGGCGCGCACACACTGCAAGTCTCGGCTCCAGGGGCGTTCTTCCTGCCGGTAAGCCCAAATCATGCCTTGCATGCAACCAGGTCCTGCTTCGTCCTGCTTCGTCCTGTCCTGTCCTGTCCTGTCCTGTCCTGTCCTGTCCTGTCCTGTCCTCAACCCCATTCCATCCATCCCCAGTGCTCTCTCTCCCGCCACGCACACGCTGAAAGTCTCTGCTCCCTCCCAGGGGGTTCTTCCTGCCGGTAAGCCCAAACCATCCATCCATCCATCCCCACCACCCTACCTGCTGGCTCGCACACGCTCCAAGGGCGTTTTTCCTGCCGGTAAGCCCAACCTCATCCACTGTCCTCCTGCATGCAACCAGGTCCCGGGTCGTCGTGACACAAGGGCTCACCTGTCGTGGCGTTCCCTTGCCATTGTCTCTTCCTGGGCAGGTCACGCTGCAAGTCAGTGCGAAGCATGCAGGAAACTTCCGCGCAATGGTGATCCGAGAACAGGGCCCTGCAAGCCTCTCCATCGATCCACTCATCATCTCGCCCTTCGCAGCTGAGGAGTATTTCGAGGTGAGGATGAAAGGTAGTGGTGAAGAGGGCGATTGTGGTTTTCGTAAATAGTAACCAGGGGCCTCCCAGCCTGTCCCCCCATTCAAGGCACAGGTGGTGGGCTGAGAGCAGGGCCCAGCAGCTCTTTCCATTAATCCCCTCATCATCTCGCCCTTCGCAGCTCAAGAAGCCTTTGAGGTGACGCTGGTTGGAACTTGAATATTGTCTGGCACAATAATGGTGAGACAGCCAGGCAAGCATTTGAGGCATGGCGTGCCGCGGCGACGACAGCAAGCTGTGAGCAAGCAGGGCCCTTCATGCCTGTCCATTCACCCCCTGCAGAGGCGTGGGCCATTCAGCATATGGACGGTGGTGCGGAGCCCCATGGGCATCATGATCATCTCACGCTATTCATCAACCCCCATGTGTGCATTCATGCTGCTAACCGCATTCCCCACTTGCCCCCACACGCAGAGGCGCGAGCCCTTCAGCATATGGACGATAGTGAAGAGCCCCATGGGCATCATGATCTGATTCATGCTCCACTCATCCCCCTGCCTTTGCCCTCCGCTCATCACTCACTCGCACCACTCACCCCCCTGCCTTTTCCCTCCACTCATCACTCACTCGCACCACTCACCCCCCTGCCTTTGCCCTCCACTCATCACGCACTCGCACCACTCACCCCCCTGCCTTTGCCCTCCACTCATCACTCACTCGCACCACTCACCCCCCTGCCTTTGCCCTCCGCTCATCACTCACTCGCACCACTCACCCCCCTGCCTTTTCCCTCCACTCATCACTCACTCGCACCACTCACCCCCCCTGCCTTTGCCCTCCACTCATCACTCACTCGCACCACTCACCCCCCTGCCTTTGCCCTCCACTCATCACTCACTCGCACCACTCACCCCCCTGCCTTTGCCCTCCACTCATCACTCACTCGCACCACTCACCCCCCTGCCTTTGCCCTCCACTCATCACTCACTCGCACCACTCACCCCTGTGCCTTTGCCCTCCACTCATCACTCACTCGCACCACTCACCCCTGTGCCTTTGCCCTCCCCCTTGCCACCATGCTTCCAGAGGCGCCAGCCGTTCAGCATATGGACGATAGTGAAGAGCCCCATGGGCATCATGATCTGCTTCATGCTTGTCGTCATGGTCGTCCTGCCCCGCCTCGCTGACTCCATAGGTGGGCTCCTCTCTGCCACTGGCGTACTCGTTTCTAGCATACTCAACCTTACCATACTTTTAGAGCGCACCTCTTGTTGTACGATCATCCGCCCCACGGGCATCATGATCTGCTACATGCTCCTCGTCATGGTTATCCTGCCCCGCCTCGCAGACTCCATAGGTGAGTGAGTGGGTGATGCACAAATGAGAGTGCTCAATGCTATTGCGTGGATGGGTCATGCCTTCGAGGTAAGTAATTTTTCATCCTTATGGCCGTCCTGCCCCGCCCCGCCGGCCCTTATACTCATTTCTTGCATACTCATTTTGTGCATATTCATTTTGTGCATGTACATTTTGTGTGTACTCGGCATGCTCATTCTTACCACAGGGCTCTGCTTCCTGCTCCTGCTCTTGATTCTCATATACCGTGATCCCTCTGTTTTGTGGATCCCACCCTCGTTTCTTCCTACTTGTCCCTCTCTCCCTTCAGACCCAGAGGATTTGATGCACATGCATTCACAGCAGAAGCACTAGAAGCACTAGAAGCACTAGAAGCACTAGAAGCAGTAGAAGCAGTAGAAGCAGTAGAAGCAGTAGAAGCAGTAGAAGCAGTAGAAGCAGTAGAAGCACTAGAAGCAGTAGAAGCACTAGAAGCAGTAGAAGCAGTAGAAGCAGTAGAAGCAGTAGAAGCAGTAGAAGCAGTAGAAGCAGTAGAAGCACTAGAAGCACTAGAAGCACTAGAAGCACTAGAAGCACTAGAAGCACTAGAAGCACTAGAAGCAGTAGAAGCACTAGAAGCACTAGAAGCACTAGAAGCACTAGAAGCACTAGAAGCACTAGAAGCACTAGAAGCACTAGAAGCACTAGAAGCACTAGAAGCACTAGAAGCACTAGAAGCACTAGAAGCACTTGCCGCATGTGTTCACTCCCCCCCATCCCTGTCTCGGTGGCCCGTCTCCGTATCCCCTTTCCTGCGCTCCCTTCAGACCCAGAGGAGATGAAGCAGATGCAGGAGCAGATGCAGCAGCAGCAGGTGCCGTCACTTTCAGGCCTCTTGAGTGGTAATCGATAGGGGTACAGTACATGGTGGGGTAGTTACCCTGTTTCCCTGAGTTGAAACGACAACAATGGTACGGTAGTGGTTGATGAATGTGGTCGAAGTTAGTCAGAGTTGATCCTCTTTTTTGGGGGTGGTCAGGTCATGTACTGCTGTGTATACTTGCTTACCTGAGTGCCTTCATGTGCTGGCTCTCCACCTACCCCACCTTGATGCTGCTGTTTCGCTCCCACCAGCATGAACGCACAGATCCACATGTAGTAATGGAAACAATTTCTTCCCCTTCTCACATTGCAGCTGAGCCTGGCCAATTTAAGCCTCATAGATGTAGCGTCCGCCTACTTGCCACCGCGTACGTTTACAACTCATTCTGTGTGGTTATTCATACTGCATCACGTTGCAAAACAATGAAGATTAAGAACCGCTATGTGTTGCCAGACCCAAGTTAAAAAAGTGCAGCAACAAGTTTCTCAAACAAAAAAAAGAGCTTGGGCCGATGCAACACTGCTTCTAACAAACTAATGTCTGGATCGAACTGATGTGATTGGCTTTGCAAAGCGAGGGACTTTGTTGCAAGGCCCAACTTCAGTTTCATGTGGAAACTGGGTTCATAACTCCTTGTTTTTAACTACGATAGTTACTAGATTTTTGCCTCGCTAAGTATAGCTGAAATACTAGTCGTTCGTATCACATGCTCGCTATTAACGACTTAGTTCGACAGTGCTATTTATCGACTTAGATCAGATGCATAATGTAGTCATACGAGGACAGGTAGTAATGCGATGCCATGTTTTTGTTTTGCGCGCAAACGTCATTGTCGGCCCGTCGTTCTCCAGTTCCGCCCAAATACAGTAGCTTACGCCAACAGTGGCGTCGCTTACGGGGCGATGCACACAAGCAACGTTTCTAATGGGTTGGGTCGTAAGCAGATAGCGACGCCCGCTGATAGTGATGCGCGCAGAGAGCGTCGCTTGTGGATAGTGTGGCACGCGGATAGCGATGCGCGTAGAGAGCGTCGCACGCGGATAATGTGGCACGTAGATAACGACGCGCGCAGAGAGTGTCGCTCGCGGATAGTGTGGCACGCGGATAGCGAACCCGGGAATTCCGTGTCGTCCAACTGGCTACCCGCATGCCTCTTAGAGACTAAGGACAGAGTCTATGAAGATTAGGGGCTGAAATATCTCAAAATCGTTGGACTATATTTCTGGACAGAAAAATCGACTTCACAAGAAACGTCGTTGACGACAACTGCACTGTTAAAACTTCACCAATTATAGATATGTTGTAGCTCTAGTCCGTGGCTACAATTCTCAATTTGAATCGTATCAAAAGGTGAGTATTTCTCGAGATATTAATTTCGGCGCACTGGGGGGTATGCTGCCACATAAACTTAACTCAATCACAAAGGTTCACCCAAGTTCCACACATGAGAATTAGAGTACCAATAAACCAGGTAGGGGGGGATGAGGAGGACGAGAGGGAAGGTGTCAAACTTATATGCTGACATTGTGTAGTCTGTAGTGGTGTAGCCCATATGGGGTACAACACAACTCAGGGTTAGTACTTGTACTCATCCTGCTGCTAGTTCATTTCATTCTCGTTTGTAACTTTGACATGGAATCAGAGCAGGTTCCTTGGGCCCACCACATGCTGCCTTGCTAGTACCCCGTTTACCTAGACCCATCGCGCCCCTCGGCCCCGTTGCCCCTAGGCCCCGGCCTCTTGGCCCGTCGCGCCCCTAGGCCTGTCGCGGCCCGTAGGCCCGTCGACCCCCGGCCCGTCGCCCTAGGCCCGTCGCCCCCAGCTAGTCGCCCGTCGCCACCTAGGCACGTCGCCCCGCGGCCCGTCGCCCGTCGCCACCTAGCCCGGCGCCTCGTAGGCCCGTCGACCCCCGGCCCGTCGCCCTAGGCCCGTCGCCCCAGGCTCGTCGCCCGTCGCCACATAGGCACGTCGCCCCGCGGCCCGTTGCCCGTCGCCACCTAGCCTGGCACCCCGTCAGCCCGTCGACCCCCGGCCCGTCGCCCCTAGCCCGTCGACCCCCGGCCCGTCGCCCTAAGCCCGTCGCCCCCGGCTCGTCGCCCGTCGCCGCCTAGGCCCGTCGCCCGTCGCCACCTAGGCCCCTCGCGACCCACGCCCCCCCCTCTAGCAACCCACGGCCCCTTGGCCCCTCACGACTCACGGCCCCCTCTCGCGACCCACGGCCCCTAGGCCCCTCGCGACCCACGGCCCCTCTCGCGACCCTAGGCCCCTCGCGACCCACGGCCCCTCTCGCGACCCTCGACGCGCGACCCACAGCCCTTAGGCCCCTCGCGGCCCACTAGGCCCCTCGCGACCAACGGCCCCTCCCGCGACCCACGGCCCCTAGGCCCCTCGGCCCCGCCCCGTCGCGCCCCTCGGCCCCTTCGCCCATCGCGCCCCTCAGCCCCTTCGCCCCTAGGCCTCGGCCCCTTGGCCCATTGGCCCCCCGGCACCTCGGCCCCTTGGCCCCTAGCCTCGGCCCCTTGGCCTCGTGTTTGGCCCCTCGGCCCCTAGGACCCTCGGCCCCTCGGCCCCGCCAAGATCGTGTTTGGCCCCTCGGCCCCTAGGCCCCTTGGCCCCTCAACCTCGTGTTTGGCCCCTAGGCCTCGTGTTTGGCCCCTCGGCCCCGCCCCTCGGCCCCTCGGCCCCTAGGCCCCTTGGCCCCTAGTTCCCTTGGCCCCTAGGCCCCTAGGACCCTTGGCCCCTCGGCCCCACGGCCCCGCCACCCTCGTGTTTGGCCCCTCGGCCCCGCCCCTTGGCCCCTTAGCTACTGCTGCTGCTGCTCCTGCTACTACTGCTGCTACTGCTGCTCCTGAGTGCTGCGCCACTATGGCTTCGCTTAGAGTTCTAGCGTTCGATCATGAGGGCAGACCGGTTGCGTTTGACACGTGGCACGACGATCTGCAACTATACCTACTGAGCGATATTAAGGACAGTGTCTCACTGTTTGACCACGTGTCCGGTGTCGCTCCAGCCCCTCCCACCACAGCTGACGGTGGGACTCGTTTCCAGTGGCTGTCTCATGACGCTACTGCCCGCTTAGCCATTCGCAACCACCTACCGGTGGCCGAATGTACTCACTTTGGACAGCACAGGACAGCACAGGCCCTGTACGACGCTGTCCTTGCTCGCTACTCCTCCCCTGCCACTGCTGCTCTAGGCAGACTGCTACTGCCCTACCTGCTCCCTGAGCTGTCGGCTTTTGCCACCGTAGCGGACCTGGTTACCCACCTGCGCACTAACGACGCTCGCTACCGTGCTACCGTCCCTGCTGAGTTCCTTGCCACGAACCAGCCCCCCATGTTCATCACCCTCTACTTCATAGTCTCTCGCCTCCCTGACTCTCTTCGCTCTGTCAGGGACCACTTTCTCTCCCTTGACCCCACCTCCCTCACTGTTGACCTCCTCGAGCAGCATCTCCTCGCAGCTGAGACTAGTGCAGTTGCTGTAGGTGCTGCTCGAGGCACTCCGCGCCTGCCCTTCTTTGAGGGGTGCTCCTCCTCCCCCCTTTCCCCCTCCTTCGCCTCTGCTGCTGGTGCAGACGTCTCTGTTACTGAGGACGTCGGTGCTGCTTCGACTAGTGCGAAGCGCCACAGCAGCAAGGGCAAGGGTGGCCGGGGTGGTGGAGGTGGCAGCGGTGGTGGTGAAGGTGGCAGTGGGAGCGGTGGTGGAGGCAGCGGTGGAGGTGGTGGAGGCAGTGGAGGTGGTGGCGGCGGTGTGAATGGTGGCGGCAGTGGGGGCTCTGGTGGCGGCGGTGGAGGCAGCGGAGGGAGTGGCGGCAGTGGAGGCGGTGGGTCTGGTGGTGGCAGGTCTGGACCTCAGTGTGGAGGCCCTGGTGGTGGTCAGCGTCAGCAGCAGCAGCGTCGGAGCGAGACCCAGTCGCCCCAGCAGCTCCGTGAGTGGTTGGTTCAGCGTGGGACGGGTGGGGGTAGTGAGACCTG